CTGATCCTGAACCAGACGAATTAATTGAGTAGGCATCAGCAGAAAACAGTGACTGCGTCGGAGATGCTGAAAATAGCATACATATCACGAATAAGAGCTTCTCCTTGCACATAATCACGAGATTTTGAACCAGTCGCGCAACCGTTTATGGATGAGCCGTGAACTGAACCGTTATTATTAGAAGATACTACAACATCGGTGAATTGAGACATAATGATACGTCGATAGCAGAAGAGTATCAAGCGAGCGAGGGTATGAACCACGACAACTGGTCAGGCGTGCACGAACCACCGTGAGAACTTATGGCCTTTTGGATGGCAATGAATTTCCAAAACACTATGCCGCGTATAATCGCAAAAAAACCTGACCCTAAAAACCCACTACCTAAAGGTAGCGGGAATTCTGACCTTTGCGCATACCCAGTACGAGTTCGTGCACCTAGGTTGTCTGTTCTCACTACTAGATCTCATTGCATCCTACAATTTTCGTTTTCAATTAAGAGTACAATACCCTGTGGCACTCTGCCCATGTGGGCACATTTATCAGACAAACGCTACCATTACTTGCCCGGCCATCCCTCTGGCAAGCAACATGAGACCAGCGCTCGCAGTTATGGCACTGAATGGCCACTTCACTCTCTTCCTGGAGATCTCCATGTTCCCGGCTTCCACACCTGCAGTAGAAGTCATATTCCCCCACCAAAGATCCTCGAGTTCGGAACGTCCGTATGGAATGCAAAGGAATTCTCTCGCGTTCGTTCATTTGGCCGGTAATCTTTCCTCGAATCTTGAATAATAATATACTTCGGTGGTTGATCTGATTTCTGTCGAGACAACACGTCGCATGCGAGACAACGCACTCAGGATCATCTTTTCGGATAAATTCTTTTAAACTGCCCGCAGGACGCTAAAATATGTTACACAAACACTAACAAGAGGGCGTCTTTGTGCGATGAGCGTTTAGAAGCCTTCAAGAGTGCGTCGCACAAACACTAACAAGAGGTGGCCAAAGTTCTTCAACTCACCTTTGTTGTGTCAGCTGGGTTTAAATTTGATACGGCAGGTCCACCATGCTCGATGATCCCTCTTCAAAGGCCTACCTCCGCGAACGAAAGTGGTCGATCAAATCGTGCATGTCGTGTCCCTACCATGCTCCCTACCATGCTCCTTCAAGTTGTTCCTTGAACCAATTCTGACGAATACTCTGTCGACTTCGTTCGAAGCGGACATGGCACCTGAACACGTCTGACACACAATACGATAGTCAGGCTCGACCGCCTTCGATTGGGCGCCTAACCCACCTGCGACAAGGTCACATCGTTTGCCCTTGGGTTCGATCGTTCGTCCTTACGTTTGTTCGTTTGTTCGTTTGTTCGTTGTTCGTTTGTTCGTTCGTTCGTTCGTTGTTCGTTTGTTCGTTTGTTCGTTTGTTCGTTTGTTCGTGTGTTCGTTTGTCCTCGCGTTCGCCCGTTTGTCCTCGCGTTTGTTTGTTTGTCCTTTTGTCCTCACGTTCACTCGCTACCCTAGTGGCCAGTTGCCCCGGACGGTGGAGCTCTCGAGAAGAACTACGCAGGCATAACCAACCCCGTAAGTGCTTTTTTCTTTACTCGATTATCCTGAGACTGAACACTCCCAAGACGGCAACGCCGCCCCTTGTCTTCACAACTGAGATCATCAAAATGATGGCCGAGATATCTGCACTCACTGATGTCTATTGGTACATGGGTATGCGATACGTGATAATACTCTTGTTGTCACTGACCTTCTTGCGCAGGTGTGCCGTTCAATGACACTCAGCATTGGCGCTTGCAGATCGCTGAAGTCGGAGAGGCGATGCTCGGAAATTATCTGATTGGTCTACAGGTCAGGGAATTCGCGCTCGTTCGTTTGTCCTTGCGTTCCCTCGTTTGTCCCCGCGTCCGCTCGTTTACCCTTGCGTTCGTCCTCGCGTTCCCTCATTTGTCCCCACGTTCGCTCGTTTGTCCTCGCGTTCGTCCGTTTGTTCTTGCGCGTTGACTCGTTTGTCTCGCGTTTATCCTCGCGCTCGTTCGTCCTTGCGTTCCCTCCTTTGTCCGCGTTTTTTTTTTCGCGTTTGTTCTCGCGTTTGTTCGTTTGTTCTTGCGTTGAATCGCTTGCCCGCGTTTTTTTCTCGCGTTCGTTCGTTTGTCCTTGCGTTCACTCGTTTTTCCGCGTTTGCCCGTGCGTTCCCTCGTTTGTCCGTTTATTCTTGCGCTGACTCGTTGGTCCGCGTTTTTTTCGCGTTTATCTTCGCGTTTACTCAGTTGTCCGCGCGTTCCCTCGTTTGTCCGCATTTTTTTTTCGCGTTTATCCTCGCGTTTACTCAGTTGTCCCCGCGTTCCCTCGTTTGCCCTTGCGTTCCCTCGTTTGTCCGTATTTTCTTTTCGCGTTCCTTCGTGTGTTCTTGCGTTCCTTCGTTTGTCCGCATTTTTTTTCGCGTTTACTCATTTGCCTTGCGTTCACTCGGTTGTCCGTGTTTTTTTTTTTCGCGTTTGGCTATAACACACTATGTTGCTAACGTCCTCCCAGTTATTTTGTTCGCGTTTGTCCTCGCGTTCGTTCGTTCGTCCCCACATTCACTCGTTTGCCCTTGCGTTCGTTCGTCTGTCTTCGCGCTCAACAATCCAAGCGTGCCAGAACTTTTGATAGCATTGATGAGGTCGTTGTTGACCGGTCGCGACACTAGGAAGTCTGGCAATAGCAATGATAAGGCGCGTCAGGAGGATAGCGACGACGAAGAAGACGAAGAAGATTTAACCCAGGAGGAGCACAACGAGGAAGAGGAACAACGCTTCGAGGAACTCAATGGCGAGGCCATTCGCCAGCGCCTCGAGCAGAAGCGCAATACCTTTGGTGTTAGTAGGATTTCGGCTACCTCTGCCTATGGCTCAAGCTGATTTATGTGCCGTAGGGTATTGCAGAGCATGGAATAATTGAGTCCATTGAGATGCACCATTTCATGTGCCACAAACGACTTACTTTCACGTTTGGACCTCAGATTAATTTCATTATCGGTGAGTGTCACTTCGAGTGTGTTAAGCAGATGCTGAAACAGCTCTATAGGTCACATATATGCATCGCAGTTCTTCCTGCGAGGCACCCAGCTATCGCAGCTTTCTGAGGAATATGACGCTTGCCTTGATAATATCAACCAGACCAAGAAGGTGTTACACCAGAAAAAGCAAGTTCCCCCTGACCTACGCGCTGCATTCAAAGAGGCTAGCGTGCGCTTTGAAGAAGCAAGCAAGGCAAGAGAGCAGCGCTGCAAGGTTGATGAGCTCAAGAAGGAGCTTGCCTGGGCTCACGTCGCAGCGACGCAAGCGGTAAGAACTGATCTCCTCAATATCCCCTTTGATCCGTCTGACATGGTTGATTGTGTGTATCGTGAATAACGAACTGATGCAGTTATAATTTCTAGGAAATGGAGGCAAAGCTTGAGGAAGTTGCGAAGGCGGAACGCCGCTTGCGCAAGATCGAGGCTGAGATGAAGACAGCCGAGGTGTGCTCCTAGAAAGTCATGGGTACCGATATTCATATGCTCACATATTCTCGTTAGTCCCAATTCCAGCTTGCCTCCGATGCTGTAGAACAATTCGATAAAGCGGATTCCGCACTTGGCGATATTGATCACCTCACCAAGCAGCGCGACGATCTACAGGAGAAAATGCGCGGCAACCGAGTGAAGATAGGAAACTTCAAGGTCTATATACCTATTCTTCTGCTTTACTTGTCTGACATGATTGTCTTTTCATAGAATGACGAGAAACAAATGAACACTTCTCTTAACTCTCTCAGTGATGCCATTAAGAACTACACGCGAAATATCGCTGAAGAAGAGCATCGTCTCGCTGCAGACACACAAGTAAAACGAGACGAGCTTAACCGAAAACTGGAGTCCGCCAGAACGGATGTCACGAACGCCGATCAAGCGCACAAGGACTTCCTTGAAGCCAAGCGTCAAAAATTGGCTGATCAGGACAGCATCAAGCGTTTGTTCGTTTGTTCTTGCGTTGAATCGCTTGCCCGCGATTTTTTCTCGCGTTTGTTCGTTTGTCCTTGCGTTCACTCGTTTGTCCGCGTTTTTGTTTCGCGTTTGCCCGTGCGTTCCCTCGTTTGTCCGCGTTTTTTTTCGCGTTTGTTCTCGCGTTTGTTCGTTTGTTCGTTTGTTCTTGCGTTGAATCGCTTGCCCGCGTTTTTTTCTCGCGTTCGTTCGTTTGTCCTTGCGTTCACTCGTTTTTCCGCGTTTTTTTTTCCGCGTTTGCCCGTGCATTCCCTCGTTTGTCCGTTTGTTCTTGCGCTGACTCGTTGGTCCGCGTTTTTTCGCGTTCATCCTCGCGTTCGTTCGTTTGTCCTTGCGTTCCCTCGTTTGTCCGCATTTTTTTTCGCGTTTATCTTCGCGTTTACTCAGTTGTCCGCGCGTTCCCTCATTTGTCCCCGCGTTCGCTCGTTTGTCCTCGCGTTCGTCCGTTTGTTCTTGCGTTGACTCGTTTGTCTCGCGTTTATCCTCGCGCTCGTTCGTCCTTGCGTTCCCTCCTTTGTCCGCGTTTTTTTCGCGTTTGTTCTCGCGTTTGTTCGTTTGTTCTTGCGTTGAATCGCTTGCCCGCGTTTTTTTCTCGCGTTCGTTCGTTTGTCCTTGCGTTCACCCGTTTGTCCGCGTTTTTTTTTCGCGATTGCCCGTTCGTTCCCTCGTTTGTCCTTGCGTTCCCTCGTTTATCCGTTTGTTCTTGCGCTGACTCGTTTGTCCGCGTTTTTTTCGCGTTTATCCTCGCGTTCGTCCGTTCGTCCTTGCGTTCCCTCGTTTGTCCGCATTTTTTTCGCGTTTATCCTCGCGTTTACTCAGTTGTCCCCGCGTTCCCTCATTTGTTCCCGCGTTCCCTCGTTTGTCCGCATTTTTTTTGCGTTTATCCTCGCGTTTACTCATTTGTCCCCGCGTTCCCTCTTTTGTTCCCGCGTTCCCTCGTTTGCCCTTGCGTTCCCTCGTTTGTCCGTGTTTTTTTTTCGCGTTCCTTCGTGTGTCCTTGCGTTCCTTCGTTTGTCCGCATTTTTCTCATTTGTCCCCGCGTTTACTCATTTGCCCTTGCGTTTACTCGTGTGTCCGTGTTTTTTTCGCGTTTGGCTATAACACACTATGTTGCTAACGTCCTCCCGGTTATTTTGTCCGCGTTTGTCCTCGCGTTCGTTCGTTCGTCCCCGTATTCACTCGTTTGCCCTTGCGTTCGTTCGTCTGTCCTCGCGTCGACTCGTTTGTCCCCTCGTTCCCTCGTTTGCCGGTGCGTTCACTCGTTTGTCCTTGCATTGACTCGTTTGAAAACCAGGGACCCTAGCTACCTCCCACCTCAAGAGGGTGCCTGGCCCTACTGCCCCAACTATTCCAATAATGTGGATCGTGATCAGCAGCCCGTTCGCTCGTTTGTCCGCGTGTTTTTTCGCGTTTGCCCGTGCGTTCACTCGTTTGTCCGCATTTTTTTGCGTTTGTCCGTTTGTCCTCGCGTTTGTCTTGTTTGTCCGCTTCTTTTCGTCGCGTTTGCCCTTGCGTTCCCTCGTCTGCCCTTGCGTTCACTCGTTTGTCCGCGTTTTTTTTTTCGCGTTTGTCCGTTTGTCCTCGCGTTTCGTTCTTTTTTTCCGCGTTCGTCCGTTGCCAGCAGTGCTGGGCTTGGCTCTGATCCCGACAGTGTTGATTCTGCCGATCGACCTGCATTCGGAAGATGGATACATCTCCAGTATAATGGTGCATGCACCTCCGCCCATCCAGTCATCAGGAAATTATTACTTAATTTGTCCTTAAACAGACTTATCTACACTTATTTACACTTAAGTGTCTTGGCGAAAGGTGGATCTACTTGTCCAACATTGCAAGAGAAAAAAATTGTTGATGTATATTAACATACATGTTTTATTATATTTCACACTAAAAAAATATGAAACATGCCAGGTGAATGATGCAAGAGAGAGCAAACAAGTTTTGGGACAAGTGAGATAAACTGATTAAGGAGATTAAGGAATGTGTGAATTTACTGATGCCATGGGTCTTGAATGAGTGGGAGACTCCATGTACCACATCAGGGGCTTGTCAAATGTGGACACAAAAGCTGAATTATGAACCGCTCTCTGCTTGTGGTGCCATACATTCAGGCTTTTCATGGCGACTTTCTTTAACAATTGAACAATGTACCACATAGTGATACAATACAAATGCCCGCTGTTTGTTGGATCTTGCATGTGTAAGGCTGGTTTTGGTTCGGCGGGGAAATGAGAACAAAATGGTGTGACAATATAGAAGGGTTTTTTGAGAAGATTTTTAGTAATGGTGAAGCGATGAGTATAGAGGCAAGGTTGAGAGTGGGGGCGCAAGTGCCAAACCTGGGTCCAGTTCTACCAGAGTCGACAAACCCTGGATTGAACCTTTGCAAACTGTTCAGAGTGGTCATGTTTGGTTTTTTTGGGGTTCAAATGTGAACCATCCATGTCACAAGCCAACAACTGGACTGCTTGGTGCAGCACTGAGGCAGTCATGTACTAAATACACCAACTGCAGTTTCACAGGCAGAAAGAAATGCAAATTAATGCCAAGTGATGTCAAGGAGCAAAAGCAGCTGGTTGTGCATAAGAAAGGCTGACTTAAAGGATTCATCAATTTTCTGTGTCCCATGGGCCATGACATGTGTAAGGATTGTCTATCCTCTACACACGGCCCGCACCTCAAAAAGGAAATCTGAGAACTGTCATTCACAAAGTCCACGTGACTCACGGATGCGAGAAAGCTCTACACTTTGCATCCGAGTTATGTGGATACATTCTCTCACTTCTCCATTCTCTCTTTTTCCGTTATCTTACCTTGTGCTCAAACTTCACGATACCCTTGTTTCACCAAAGTATTTTCACCTCGCCATATGCTCCCCATTCTTATTTCAGCCTAGTAAAGTACTTGAAAATGTATTTATACTGCTCATGTACACTCATAACAACAGCAGAATCATATGTTGGTTCCCTGCTCAAAGCAAACTTTGCTCTACAGAAAGTCTTAGCCTCTCGAAATGTTTCGTCTTCACACTTGCACCCCTACTCTCAACCTTGCCTCTATACTCATCGCTTCACCATTACTAAAAATCTTCTCAAAAAACCCTTCTATATTGTCACACCATTTTGTTCTCATTTCCCCGCCGAATGGTTCTTGGTTCTTAGCAGCACTACTTGGACCAGTGTACCTTCATTTTGTCTGTCAAAACATTGAAAAAATAATAATTTATGTTTCAATGATTTTCTGTGTGTGGGACATGATGCAAAAATTCATCATGTTCCTTCAAGGATAATGCTGTATTTTCCACCTATTGTGTGCAGAAAACAATGTATAATTTGTGCATGTTCTGAGGCAGAGTATCCTGCAATCATGTTTCATTTTTTTTCTCTGAACATAATAAATGTTTTTTAAGTGTTGTGCAGGAGGAATATACTGCAAACATTATGTATTTATTCTTACAAAACATGGGGCATGTTTCATAAATTTCCTCTGATCAAATATACAAATGAAAGTTTGAAAGTTTCTTTGCTTTTCCTTAACAAAACATTGTCAAAATATTTATTATTATTTGTTATATGATTTTTCAATGTTCTTGGATCAAACATATGGTGAACAGGATGAAGTAATTGAGATTTTTGATACACAGAACATTGGAAAAACAGAGGCCAAAAAATTGACATGATTGTAAATTGTTATTTGAGGAATGATGAATGAAAAATATAGACTGTTTCTTGAGGGAAAATGACTCATTTTTAGATTATGTCTTGCATACAGAAAATCTTCAATACATTCATTATTTTTTTTCAATGTTTTGATACACACAATAAAAAGAAATTTCTATCTTCTAATTCAATGTTTTTTGGATGTTTGGTGGAGGAAAATGAGAAAATGCCCGCAGTGATTGAGTGTTTTAAGTGCAGGTAGAGTAGGAAAGAAAATTGTAAGTAAATATTACTGAGCATGAGCTGACGTCAAACATTGCTCGTTCATCGCTCTTTTGGAATTAGTGATGTAAAAGTTCGGTCCTGGACCGCGGTTCGAACCAAATTTTTAGTGGACTGAACTGCGGTCCAGTCCGATGTTCGACGGCTGGGGAGAACCGAACCAGGTATTCAGTTCAACGTTCAGCAGTCCTTGGACTGTTTTGAACATGTTCAAACACGTCTGAACACATACTTATTTTTTGCATGATGACTCAGCAACTTCATCGATATTCACCATCGATAAGCATTGCCATCATCACACTTCACACAGATTGGTTGTCATCATTAAATAACCTTGCAAATAAACTTGGCATCCATCTATTTGATTTAACACTTAATAGAGAAGACCAATAGAGAAGACCTCAACGAGTCACAAGACGACCTACACTGTAAGCAAATCTTTCATGCAATAATGTTTGATCAACTACTAATACTTGTGTTGTGAAGACCTCTGATCACGAAGCTTGATAAAGCAAGAACACGGTGTAGAAACAACAATACTGAGAGGAACAAATGATGCTCCTGACTGTATCTGTAAATAGTTGTAAGGTCACGCGTTGCCTAGTCTGCGTTACTTGAGGAGATAAGTGCGTTCGACCCTAAAGGGGAAGCGAGTGGAGCGAAGATCTAGAGGTATGCGCTAAAGCGAAGCGTGAGAAAGTGCAGGTGTGTGCAAGGCACGAAGGCACGGGAACGCGCGCGCGTATTGCGCGAAGCGTGGGAAAGTGCGTGCGTGTATGCAGAAATGAGAAACTAAGCTCAAGTGATGATATAAAGCAAGATAAGAGATGTGAGATGTGATGTGCTAATGAATAGATTTCTACTGCAACTTTCTAGGTATTAAGTATGTAAGTAAAGTTGGGTGAAAAGGTAAGTCAGTAATAGTATGTACTGCTGGCGCTTATATAGGGCGCCCAAGCGCTGTCATGCGGAGCTGAAGCGCTACCGAGTAGGTATGTAAAGATATATATGAGTGAGAATCCATGATAAAAATAAAGGTGGAATGATATGCTAATAAGAGAAATGGAAATATATGCACTAGAGGGCTTGGTGGACAGTGGATGGATGCTTCTGGATGGCTGGCACTATAGGGCGCTCAAGTGCGGGAACACGCACATGCATATACATCACGAAGCACAGGAAGAGTGCGTGCATGGCGCACGTTGTGTGGGAAAGCTGCACCTCATATAGGAATAGCTGTGGATAGCACACAGAGTGGTGCTGCAAGTTTGTGCTATGTACTCCCTAGTGGAAACTGCCATATCATGCCATGAGAGGCATGAGTCTCTACAATGGACTGGGACCACAGTGAGTTCCCTGACTTTCTCCCCCTCAATATGTCAAATAACCAAAGTGCTGTAGGTGCCAATGGTGCTCTTCTTGACACCAGTGATATCACCTGGTTTCACGATGCTGATGATGATACTCCACTCCCTACTTCTCATATGCCTTTGCCACCCCCTGCCATCATGATTGCTGGCT